AGGTGTGAGTCACTCCTCCTGTCCCAGGAGTTTAGAGGAGAGAGAGTGGCATTGGAGGGACCAGGGAGAGCTGAACTGGATCTACAAGGATTGGTACCATTTTTTTCCTTTTAAATAGCAATTTAAGCCGAGCTCGGTGGCTCAGCCTGTAATCCCACACCTTGGGAGGCCGAGGTGAGTGGATGGCCTGAGCCCGTGGGTTCGAGACCCGCCTGGACAACTTGACGAGACCTCATCTCTACAATAAATCAAAAATGAGCTGGGCGTGGTAGCGCGTGCCTGTAGTTCCAGCTCCTTGGAAGGCTGAGGCGGAAGGATTGCCAGAGCCCGGCAGGTCGAGGCCACGGTGGCCGGTAGCGGCCACTGCACTCCAGTCGGGGCGACAGAGTGAGACTCCAACTCAAAAAAATAAAATAAATAAATAAATAGCAATTTGGCTTTTCCTTCCTAATTATAAAATCACTGCACAGATGCGATACAATATTTGAACAATATGTAAAAAGAGGAAAAAAACTGAGGGAGGAAAATAAGTACCATCCCTTTTGGACATTACTTTTTCCAGTGCATGCATATGTATTTTTTTTTTGAGTTGGAGTCTCACTCCGTCGCCCAGACTGGAGTGCAGTGGCACTCTCACGGCCACCCCAGCGTCGACCTGCTGGGCTCTGGCGATCCTTCTGCCACAGTCTTCCAAGTAGCCGGAAATACAGGTGCACGCTATCATGCCCAGATAATTTTTTATTTATTGGAGAGATGAGGTCTCACTAAGTTGCCTGGGCTGGTCTCGAACCCATGGGCTCAGGCAATCCTCTCACCTCGGCCTCCCAAAGTGCTAGGATTACAGACTGAGCCACCGAGCCTGGCCAGCACTGGTGTTTTTAAAGCACTAGGGGAGTTCAACATGCAGCCAGTCTGGCAACCACATCGCTACACGGTCTGGAAGAATGATAACTCATCTGTGTCCATCCTGAGAGTGAAGACGTTCAATCTCCATCCGTTGGCAATAGTCAAGGGTCCAAGGGCGGGCGTGGTGGCTCACGCCTGTAATCCCAGCGTTTTGGGAGGCCAAAGAGGGAGGATCACTTGAGGCCAGGAGTTCAAGACTAGCCTGGACAACACAGCAAAGCCCCATCTCTACACAAAATAAAAAAAATTAACCAGGCATGGTGGTGCACACCTGTAGTGCCAGCTACTTGGAAGGCTGAGAGAAGGATTGCCTGAGCCCAGCAGGTTGAGGCTGTGGTAACCGTGAGTGTTCCCCTGCACTCCAGTCTGGGCAACGGTGAGACTCCAACTCAAAAAAAGAAAAAGAAAAGAAAACATTCCAATGAATACACACTCCATCCTACACAGATGTACCGTCACGTCCTTGACTTATTTGTGTATTTATCTATATTTTCTTTTCTTTTTTTTGAGTTGGAGTCTCTCTCCATCACTCAGGCTGGAATGCAGTGGCACGCTCAAAGCCACCCCAGCATCGACCTGCTGGGCTCCAGTGATCCTTCCTCCTCAGCCTTCCAAGCAGCCGGAACTACAGACACGCGCTACCGTGCCCAGCTAATTTTTGATTTTTGATTGTAGAGATGAGGTCTCGCTAATTTGCCCAGGCTGATCTCGAACCCGCAGACTCAGGCAATCCACTTGCCTTGGTCTCCCGTAGCGCTGGGATGACAGGCTGAGCCACCGAGCCAAGCCTGTTTATCTCTATTTTCTTGAGTTGGGATCTCACTCTCCCAGGCTGCACGATCACAGCTCACTAGGGCTCAGGCAATGCTTCTGCCTCCAGGGCTCTTTGTGTCAGCCCACCGTCACTAGGTTCTTGCCAGGGCCTCGGGGTGATGTGGCATGTTACACTGTCACGTGATGTCACGAGGAGGTCAGTTCTGTAGCACACGCAGCCCTGGTGGGCAGCCCGGAGGCAAGGGCAGCAGAGGATAGAAGGGTGTGGGAAGTGGGCGCCCGGAGTCTAGAAGGAGAGAAAGTTCTAAGGAACCGAGAGATTAGGGCAACCAGCTGTGCCCAGATGACTCCTTGGAATGGATCAGTGCAGTCAATAGAAATCTCAGGTGAGGCAGAGGTGAGAGGATTGCCTAAGCCGAGGGGTTCAAGACCAGCCTGGGCAACTTGGCAAGACCTCGTCTCTACAATAAATCACAAAATCAGCTGGGCGTGGTGGCACACGCCTATAGTTCCAACAACTTGGAAGGCTGAGGCAAAAGGATCGCCGGAGCCCAGCAGGTTGAGGCTGCAGTGGTCGTGAGCATGCCACTGCACTTCAGCCTGGGCGACAGAGTGAGACTCCAACTCAAGAAAAAAGGAAAGAAAAGCAACCTCAGGTGAGCCCGGCATAGTGGCTCATGTCTGTCATCCCAGTAATTTGGGAGGCTGAGGTCAGAGGATCGCTTGAGGCTAGGAGTTTGAAACTATAACGGTAACTGGGCAACATAGCAAGATCCTGTCCCTTAAAAAATAGAAAAGAAAACACCCTCAGGCCACTTGCTTAGGTGTGTGAGAAATGCAAACTTACTTTTCTGGAACTAAGTTCGATTTCCATTTCAAGCCTCCTTTCCTCCACTCAGTGAATTCTGGGTCACCTGCCATCCTCTCCTAGGCTAGGTCTGAGAGGCTTTCTGCATGGACAGTGGACATGCAGTGTTCAACGAGACTGAAGGTGCTTTGGGGGAAGTTGAACAGGTTTACCCAGAGTCTACTGGCCATGACAAGCACGGGGACCTGGCACAAGGCAGGGGCTCAATAAATGTGACTGAAGCAAGTGGAGCGAGAAGAGGGACTTAGGATGTCAAGGATGTCACGGGTGTTTCACATACCTACAGATTCCATCAAAATCACTCTGTCTTGTGACCCTTCCCTCTCGCAGTGACACCCAGTTAATCCGATGGACGAATCCTTGTGGACGTGTCCTCATCCATGTGGCTCCAGCTGGGTCAGCCGTGCCGAGCCCTCTGTCCCCCTGTCACATACAAGTCAGCCTGTGTCCAAGGGTGCCACATGGGGTCAGACAGCCATCAGCAGCATCTTTGTCCACTGGAAACCAACTCATTTATTCAACTGACTCCGCCTTGTTTATTTTTCTGCCATTAACATTCTTTTCCTAGATGATAGTCAAGTCCCGGCAGGACGTTGACATGAAAGTCTTACGGGAGGGGAGCTTGGGTGGGTGTGGGCTGGGTTCCAGGTCTAGCAATGGTCACAACTAGAAAAATCCTAAATAATGTCCAAGGGGGGGCCAGGCATGATGGCTCATGCCTGTGATCCCAACACAGTGAGAAGCCGAGGCTGGAGGATCGCTTGAGGCCAGAAGTCTGAGACCAGCCTCAGCAACACAGTGAGACCCTAGCTCTACAAAAGAAAAATGAGCTGGTGTGGCGGTGCATGCCTGTCATCCCAGCTACTTGGGAGGCTGAGGTGAGACCATTTGAGGCCAAGAGTTCGAGGCTGCCGTGAGCTATGATGGCTCTACTGCACTCAGCCTGGGTGACAGAGCAAGACCCTATCTCTAAAACAAACAAAGCAACAACAAATTAAAACAAAAAACAAAAAACAGAACAATGCCCAAAAGACAACTCTTTTTTTTTTTTTTTTGAGTCAGAGTCTCACTCTATCACCCAGGCTGGAGTGCAGTGACACATTCACGACCACCCCAGCATCAACTAGCTAGGCACCAGCGGTCCTTCCACCCCAGCCTTCCAAGTAGCCGGAACTACAGGTGTGCGCTACCACACCCAACTAATTTTTTTTTATTTATTGTAGAGTCGAGGTCTCGCCAAATTGCCCGGGCTAGTCTCGAACCCCTGAGCTCAGGCAATCCTCTTGCCTCGGTCTCCCAAAATGCTGGGATTACAGGCTGAGCCACCAAGCCTGGTCTTTTCTTTCTGAGTTGGAGTCTCACTCTGTCACCCAGGCTGGAGTGCAGTGGCACGCTCACGGCCACCGCAACCTCGACCTGCTGGTCTCAGGCGATCCTTCCGCCTCAGTCTTCCAAGTAGCAGGAACTACAGTCACGAGTCACCACACACCCAGCTAATTATTATTTTTATTTTTATTGTAGAGACAAGGTCTTGCCAAGTTGCCCAGGCTGGTCTCGAACCCCTGGGCTCAAGCAGTCCTCTCACCTCTGTCTCCCAAAGTGCTGGGATGACAGGCATGAGCCACCATGCCTGTCTCAAAGGGCAACTGCTTAATCTTTACCCATTAGCAAAGAGTTGATGATACTTAAAAATAAAGAACAATGTCAGGAACATATCTCTGAGGGACGGTGCTCTGATGGCCCTATCCGTGTTGATTTCACCCGCAATCCCATTTTTGGGAACCCATTTCCTCCCCTGTGGGGTATGATGTGTCATCCTGGAGAAGCAAGATCAGCTATGGGGCTTTCCAGATACTTCCTCACCTCCCCCTCCTCAGTGCCAGGTGGATCGGCTCTTCCTTGCTGTCATGCAAGGGCTCGGGGCTCCGCAGGCCAAGGGTCTGTGTTTGGCTGGCAGTGAGTGCCAGCTGGGGACAGCGTGTCAAGGGAAGGGACTCTCTGGTGGCTGTCAGAATGCTGCACGCATCGGTGAGAGCGCCACCCTGATGGGTGTTCCCCGCCAGAGTGGCCCTTCCTTGTCTGGTGTTTCTGCTTCAGCCTTGGGGACCGGGGCCCTAGCCTCCCTGGACCCGACACCAGGACCTCTTGGGAGCAGAGCTTTGGTCTCCGGAATCCTGACTCAGGCTGGGCGTTCTCTGTAGCAGCCCCTGGTGAGCATGTTGCAAAGGCCACTCTGACACCGTCCCGGCCAGGGCCCTCGCGACAGCGACAGGCGCTGCTTCTGGGGAGGGGTGCCAGCCGCCAAAAACATCTCCAGTGCTCAGCCAGGAGCCGCCGACGGAGAGTGCCGCCAGGACCCTCCCACTTTCCCCCAGTGGCATCCCAGCCTCCTGCCTCGTTGCTTGGCTCCCTCTGTCCCTCCCTCTCCTGGGCCGCCTGCCTCAGAAGTGAGGACCCCAGGAGGCTGCAGGACACCCGGTCTGCCCTGGGGTTCCCAGACGGAGCGCCGACCTCTAGCAAGATGACTTGGAGACAGGTCCTCCTCCTCTCCTGCCTCTCGGCCGCGGTGCTCCTGTCTAGTGAGTATGGGAAGGTCAAGGGCGGACTGTGCTAGTTACAAGGTCAGGGAGACTTTCCTTCCACAGGTGAGTCTGCTCAAGTGACACAGGTGGAAAGGGGTGGCTCGTTGTGTGGATGTGTGTGCGTGTGCGTGTGCGTGTGTGTGTGTGTGTGTGTGTGTGTGTGTGTGTGTTGGGGGGAGGACACAATATAAGGCCAAAAAAAAAATAAAACAGAAAAAAGCAAAGAAAGAAAAAAATTAGAAAAATAAAACCCCAGGCCAGACGTGGTGGCTCAAGCCTGCAATCCCAGCGCTTTGGGAGGCGGGGCAAGAGGCCTGCCTGAGCTCAGGGGTTCGAGACCCGCCTGAGCAACATGGCCAGACCTTGTCTCTACAATAAATCAAAAAATTAGCTGGGCATGGTGGCACATGCCTAGGGTCCAGCTACATGGAAGGCTGAGGCAGAAGGATCCCCTGAGCCCAGCAGGTCGAGGCTGCGGTGGCTGGGAGCGTGTCACTGCACTCCAGCCTGGGCAACCGAGTGAGACTCTGACTCAAAAAAAAAAAGAGAAAAAAACCCCAAGCCAGCTTGCTTGGGTGGGTTTCTGGGGATATTGCCTGTCCACCTGGCATGTGGGACCGACGGCCCCCCACTAGGACCTGGCAGGTCCCTGGAAAGAACTCGAGGCTCCAGCAGGGGGTCTGCAGCCTCACCCTGTGTCCTTGTCCCCCAGTGCTGCAGGAGGGGACCGGCGCGTCTGTGGGCACCAAGCAGGCGGCGGGGGAAGAGACCCAGCAAGGTGAGTGCAGGGGCCCCCCGGGACAGGGCAGGTGCAGCCAGCGCCCCCAGCGGCCCTGGCCCCCCCGTGCTGGGCGTGACGGGCTTCTCACGGCTTTCAGACGTGAAGCAGAAGATTTTCATGCGGGAATCAGATGCCTCGAATTTCCTCAAGAGGCGTGGCAAGCGGTCCTCCAAATCCCGAGAAGAGGTCAACGGTAAGGACGCTGGGCAGCCTGCCTCCTGCCGGCCCCTCCCGCTTCCTCCTCTCCCCCACAGTCAGCAGCCAGTAGCGGGGACCGAGGGTTCACCCCGAGCCCTCGGGGACGCAAGTGGCTGCAGCTCTGAATGAGAGATGACCCCATATTCCTTGATTGTGGGTCCCATCTTGGATCGAACTGGGGGCAAGAAACGAAAAGAAACAGCGTCACATCAAATGCACCTGACAGGGAACGATGCATCTTGATTTCAAAAGGATGTGAGGGGGAGATCAGTGTTCAAGTCTTGAGCGGACACCACGGGTCACCCTGTGTGTTGGGGACCACGGGCACAGTGTGCGTTCTCGGGAACAGCCGCCACAGCAGGGCACAAAGAGACAGCTCTTCTAGCTGCTGAAAAGTGTAGCTTTGGGGACAGCTTTGCTGCTGGGTGACCTCAGTCACTTCCTGCCCCTGGCCTCATGTCCTTGCTTGTAAGCCTCTGAAAGAGCTGCAGAGTTCTGAAAAGTTTTCATTTCCGATGCAGCTGGGCGAGCGTGTCCCCTGAAGAGCACTGCGGTAGGGTCCGTGGGCCCCCGGCAGGTGGATTCTCATGCCCTTGACCTGCCAAGCCCGGGAGACATGGGAGGTTACTGTCCATGGAACCCGATTCCTCCGAGATGCCAAGCTCGGACCATCCAGACTGAGTCTGGGGCTTGGTGCCTTCCTCGTGCGTGAGCATGAATGAGACCTTTGTCCCCTCGGCACACTCTGCAAGGTGACTTGCCCGGCAAAAACAACAGGGCTGTTTTCAAATGATGGGGAAGGACGGAGATAGAAATGTGAGGAGATGGAATTCCTTTTTTAAAAAGCTTGGAGATGTATAACCACACTAGGAAAGTCTCCAGGCCTCACACCACTTGGGATTTCAAAGTTGGCCAATGTCAAGAAGCACTGCTGGGTGCGGTGGCTCACGCCTGTAATCCCAGCACTTAGGGAGGCCAAGAGGAAAGTATTACTCGAGCCCAGGGGTTTGAGACCAGCCTGGGCAACATAGGGAGATCTCATCTCTACAAACAAATAAAAAATTTATGGCGTGGCTGTGCATGCCTATAGTCCCAGCTACTTGGGAGGCTGAGGTGGGAGGATTGCCCGAGCCCAGGCAGTCAAGGCTGTGGTGAGCCGTGATCGTGCTACAGTGCTCCAACCTGGGTGACAGAGTGAGACTCCAACTCAGAGAAAGAAACAAAAAGAAAGGAAAAGAAAAACAAAGGCTGGGTGCAGTGGCTCACACCTGCAATCCCAGCACTTTGGGAGGCTGAGATGAGAGGATTGTCTGAACTCAGGGGTTCAAGACCAGACTGAGCAACATGACGAGACCTCATCTCTACAATAAATCACAAAATTAGCCATCGTGGTGGTGCACATCCGTAGTTTCAGCTACTTGGAAGGCTGAGGCAGAAGGATTGCCTGAGCCCGGCAGGTCAAGGCTGTGGTGGCCATGAGCATGCCACTTCACTCCAGCCTAGGTAACAGAGTTACTCAAAAAGAAGAAAGAAAAAAAAAAGCACTGGAAAGATGGGATGGAGTAATACCGGCTGGAGTTCAGTGCCATGATCACAACTCACCACAGCCTCGACCGCCTGGACTCAGGCAATCCTCCCACCTCACCCTCCCACGTAACTGGGAATATAGGCACACACTGCCACGGCCAACTAATTTTTTGGTCTGTTTGTAAAGACAAGGTCTTCCTATGCTGCCCAGGCTGGTCGGAAACTTCCGGGCTCAAACAATCCTACCTCCTTGACCTCCCAAAGTGCTGAGATTATAGATCAGTGTGAGCCACCATACCCAGCCAGGTTGTTCTTGTTCTTTTTTTTGAGTTGGAGTCTCACTTCGTCGCCCAGACTGGAGTGCAGTGGCACACTCATGGCCACCCCAGTGTCAACCCGCTTGGATCAGGAGATCCTTCTGCTTTAGCCTTCCAACTACAGGCTCACACTACCATGGCCGGCTAATTTTTTGATTCATTGTAGAGATGAGGTCTCATCAAGTTGCCCAGGCTGGTCTCAAACCCCTGGGTTCAGGCAATCCCCTCACCTCGGCCTCCCAAAGTGCTGGGATTACAGGAGTGAGCTACCGCGCCCAACTTAGGCTAGTTTTTAAAAAACTTTTTGTAGCTGGGTGCAGTGACTCACTCCTATAATTCCAGCACTTTGGGAGGCAGAGGCAAGAGGATTGCCTGAGATCAGGGGTTGAAGACCATTCTGGGCAACATGACGAGACCTTGTCTCTACAAATAAAAACAAAATAATTAGCCAGGGGTGGTGGCACATGCCTGTGGTTCCAGCTTCTCGAAAGGCTGAGGTGGAAGGATCCCACGAGCCCAGCAGGTAGAGGCTGTGGTGGCCATGAGCATGCCACTGCACTCCAGCTTGGGTGACAGAGTGAGATTCCAACTCAAAAAAAAAAAAAAGTTTTTTTGTACAGATGAGGGTCTTGCTATGTTGCCCAGGCTGGTCTCCAACTCCTGTCCTCAGGCAGTACTCCCACCTCGGCCTCCCAAGCAACTGGAATCACAGGCAAAAGCCACCACACTTAGCTCAAGGGGCAGAATCTTTCTTATTTGCCTATTTAATCCCAGTGCTCAGCCCGTATCCTGGCTGTGATAGGTGCTCAAAAATGTTGACTGGACTTAAAAGTGTCAATTAAGCCGGGCTCGGTGGCTCAGCCTGTAATCCCGCGCTTTTGGGAGGCTGAGGTGAGTGG